GCATCGGCGCAAAACTCAGCATGTCGCATTTCACGCCGGTTGCTATCAGGCCACGCCGATGGACGTTGGTCGCCCCAGTCACGCCTGCGTGAGACTGCGTTTTGCTAACGTAGCGTCGCTGTGCCCAGCGTGCGCGCGCTAAATATTGGGCCCTTGATGATGCGCTCGCGGCCTTTTTGCTAACTCCACATATACCAAATTTGCTGTTACGTGACGTCAATGGATGACGAAAGTATATGACCGGTGCAAACATGATAATGCTGAGAAGCGTGTCATTTAAGAAAATGACAACATACCGCGCTCGTAGCGTGCTCGCGGCCGTTTCGCTAGCTCCACATATACTAAATTTGGTATCATGTGACGTCAATAGACGACGAAGGTAAACGACACATCCAAACATGATAATAATGACACGTAAGTCAAGTACGGCATCATTTACCTCCACCTCGTAATATTGTGCTGATTTCACAGTGGCATATATCAACCTTACTCATTCGTACTTCGCATATCGTCGATTCGCACTGTACGTGGGATCTGCCAATTTTTTTTTTCTTTGCCATTTCTTCGCATATCTTTTTATAACGCCATAACCCTGACGGAAATAAGTCAGTGGAACCGTGATGGACCCCGGCATACACTTTCGCGTTAAAAAAAAAAAAAGAGCTTACTGTCTTTGTACATAACCCCGCCCACCTCTGTGTGAGAGCGCGCGAGCAGCTGGCTTTGCTTTGCGGGGAGAGGAAGCCTTGCGGCGGTCGAGGGATCTGACGTAGTGTGCCGAAGAGCATGCGCGGCCTAATGGACATACACACCTGCCTTGCACGAGTGACAAATGTGAAAAGTGCTCTCGTTTAACCGAATATGCGCCCTATCACAAGGCGCTTGTCGCATCTCGACGCCAAAGAATGACGCCGTTAGGCTGATAATGCGCGCTCGGCTCAATCACACACACGCACACACACACACACACACACACACACACGCGCGCGCGCACGCACGCACGCACACACACACGCACACACACGCACACGCACACACACACACACACACACACACACACACACACAAACGATGCTCGCTTTCGCGCTCTACAGAAAGGCGAACGGGCCTGTATAGACGGAATCACATTTGTCTAGAACGGTGGAGCGCGTGGCTGTGGACGCTACATGTTGTTCACAGCTATAGTAGCGTAGCCAGGGGGCGGCACACCAGGTCTGTGCTCGACACCCCAATTTTTAGATGCGGAAGCATCTTATACTCGCGCCTTGTAGTGCGCCGTCCGCGCCGTCCGCACCGCTTCTCGAACATTCGACAGCTGACGCGCGCGCATGCGCCGTCGCACCGTCGCCCACTCTTCCACCATCTGTGCATCCCTTCCTCCTCTACACACCGCGCGCGCTTCACTCCTCCACCATCTGTGCACCCTTCCTCCTCTACACACCGCGTTCGACATCTACAATTCTCCTGATTCTCCAGTGGACGCGCATGTGGCGTCGCGCTTCGAGAACATTCAACAGCTGACAGTGCATGCGCCGTCGTGCTGTATATATACTCAAGGTCGGCGCTCGCTCGCTCAGTTGCCGCTCGTCGGTTGGTTTGTACGGCGCGTCGACGTCCAAGGTCGCGGTGAAATGAATTCCAACGAATCCACAAACACAATGATCGACGTCCCTTCGACCAGCGCCGCCCTTTCGCATACGTGTGTACGTGTTCACTCATTTAACACCCCCTCCTACAACCACGTTAACCAATTTAGCCATCGACCCAAGTAAGTCGCAATTTAACACCCCATTTCACAGCCACGTTAACCAATTTAGCCATCGACCCAAGTAAGTCGCACTTTAACACCCCGTTAACCAATTATATAGTCCGCATCCTCCTCAGTGTTCCCCCGAGGGAAGCTGCGGGCAATTTTTATTTCTCCGTGGCATACAGGGAGAAAAATGACCGCTTCAAGAAAGTGCCTGCGCCCCCCCCCCCCCCCCCCAAAAAAAAATTATAACCTATGCACCTGTCCACAGCTGCATGCTACGCCCTGTTAGCTGTCAAGCTTCCATTCCCGCTCGGATTACAGCACAAGGACCCGACATGTGGTATGACTATTACGGCGTCGGTCATTGCGTATTTCCGCAGTGATAGCAGCTGAAGTGACCAATCGTGCGCACTAAGTGCGATTCTGTCTGTATCAGCCAAGTTATTGTTTACTCAGTGTGTGACACTGGTCGTAAGTGCGAAAATGCACTCCAGCCTGTCGAGCTATGACATTAGATGCGAAGCAGCTCTTTGACTCGCCTGTGTAACGCTGTCCCTCCGTACGCCCCTACTGCGCATGCCCGCGTCTCAAGCCGCATGCTACTTATAAACACTATTTGTAAACAAACGGCGAGCTATTTATAAACACTATTCGCAGCTGGAGTTACGCCGATCTCGGGGGAATATCAGCGTGATGTGTTCTGCCTTACCAGCGAACCACCGCGCCTCCACGAAGTGCACTCGTAGCGCCCCACTCATCGCCATGAGTTGGCTCGTAACCTGCACTTTGCCCTAAAGAACGTAGTCACCCACTCGTGCGCGCGCGCTTATCTGCTGGCGGGACCAGTTTGTGTGCCGTGTGCCTTCGTCGGAAAGATTGCGTTTAGGTTAAAGGGCCACTTCACTCGCTGCGGGTGCCCCATTAGCGAAGAAAGCGTATACTGTTCAAACCCAGTGAGGTAACAACAATTGCCCTTGTTAGTTAACGCTCGTCCCTTGTATACCTGTGCGCATGTTTCGTGCGTCATCTGGGCCGAGCTGTGAACTTTGTTACTATATGCACTCGTCCTGTGTGTCTTCTCGTGTGTCTTTCATTCTTGGGCAACGCGATCCAAGTTTTGATCTACTTGCCGTTCTTCACGCGACGTCCCAATATGTCGCTATCGCATTCACTGCTTCGCCCTTGCGGCGAAACTGTTACTTTCTTAGAAATATCAGCGTCTAGTGTATCTAAGAGGCAATAAGGTTCAACTTTCTTAACTTTGCGAAAAACCGACATATTACCATTTCGTAGTTTACAGTGGTTTAGCAGATACAGTGTATGTGTCTGCAAAACCACTGAAAACGCACGTATTTTAAGTCGCATTTTAGAGATCGTGCGACAACGTGAATATTTTTGAAATCTTCGCGAGGATACAGATAAATATGAAAAAAAAAAGTTAACGCAGTTTTCACTAAGTCGCGTAAGGCTGAGTCATGGCTGAACTGGTGGACGCCCAGCTGGTTCTAGTACAGGTTTTCATCCGCTTTGAATCGGAATCGCGAGTTCATCAAGTTGGTCGATGTTCATCGTAGAACAGCGCAACGGGTTGGATACGGACAGAATGTTTCAAAATAAACGTAGTTGTGAGTTCAGCGCTGCCCCGCCGCGGTGGTCTAGTGGCTAAGGTACTCGGCTGCAGACCCGAAGGTCGCGGGATCGAATCTCGGCTGTGGCGGCTGCATTTCCGATGGAGGCGGAAATGTTGTAGGCACATGTACTCAGATTTAAGTGCACGTTAAAGAACCCCAGGTGATTCACTTAAAAACCAACTTGCCCAAGCAACCACGTTAACCCCAGGTGGTCTTAATTTCCGAAGCCCTCCACTACGGTGTCTCTCATAATCATATAGTGGTTTCGGGACGTTAAACCCCAGAAATCAATCAATCAGTTCAGCGCTGAGTCCTTTTCTTCTGTCCGTATCTAATACATTGCGCTGTGAATTATTCTACGATTTTACCCACTAACCTGTCTGTTTCCTACCTCTTGCTGAACCATACTGTACGTATGACTATGCTTGCTCACTTTTTTCTGTTTTGCCTCTGTTAATTTCTATTTGTCTTTTTCTGTCCAGCTATTTATTTATTTTCCTCGCCCCGCCGCGGTGGTCTATAGTGGCTAAGGTACTCGGCTGCTGACCCGCAGGTCGCGGGTTCGAATCCCGGCCGCGGCGGCTGCATTTCCGATGGATGCGGAAATGTTGTTGGCCCGTGTGCTCAGATTTGGGTGCACGTTGAAGAACCCCCAGGTGGTCGAAATTTCCGGAGCCCTCCACTACGGCGTCTCTCATAATCATATGGTGGTTTTGGGACGTTAAACCACACATATCTATCAAATATATATCTTTCTCTCTTTTTTTTTCTTTCTGAGCTATACTTTACTCCCTCCTCCTTTCTCTTCTCTTGGCTAGTGGTTACGACGCGCGCCTTCGGATAGTGGGTACGTAGGTTCGAATCTCGCCTCACCAAGAATTTCTTTATATCTCTCTATCTTGCTATCTTTCCCTCTTTCTTTCTTTCTTTCACTATACTATACAAGGCTAGGGGTTACGACGCCCGCCTCCGGATAGCGGGTACGTGGATTCGAATCTCCCTTCACCAAGAATTTATATCTTCCTCCCTTTCTTTCTCTCGCACTGTGCTCGTTTTCTTGCCCGTCAGAGTTACCGAAACCCACGCCGGATAAATCGGCGCACGTGCTCCACAGGAGCAAAGCAGAAGACGAAGATGAAGAAGAGGATGAAGAGAACGTGTGTCGGTAATGGCGATGATAATTTTCGATCTATGACACACGGCCAACTGCAACGTAATAGCTCTGCTGCGATAGTAACTTCCATCGCGCATTTTGCTCCATTTCGGTACTGTACAAAGTAAATAATGATGCGTCTGGAGGTAAAGGTAAAAGAAACTACAGCTGCCATCCAGCTTTAAGCTTGACTGGGCTGTAGCCATTTGAAAACCGATAAATTGAGATTTTAGGGTAATTCTGTACGGTCCGCACGTGCAGACATAAAAACAAAATTCTTTTTTAAGTTTCGAGCGAAATCTGCTCTAAGCTATAGTTATTTTACCACGAGAACATCAGTGCCATGTAAAAACGATAGGATTTCTCCTTTTCCTTTCTCACTATCAATTATATAAGCGTCGTTCTCTGTAGCGCGCACGATAACCAGCGGAGGTAATTTGAAGGGGAAAAAAAGCCAGCTTACGAAGTTTGAATTCTTCGGGAGTGGAGGAGGCGTTGGAGATTGCATTTTTGGCTGATGTCACATAAGCCATGGGTATCCAGTCCGGGGGTCCTGGCACATTCCTCAGCATCGTCCAGGCGCGGATGAGCATCGCAACATGTTTCCAGCTGAACGCCACCAGCGGAACCAAGATAGACGCCAGCAACACCAGCATTATCATCACTGCTGTCGGAGCGCGCACTTCGCCGGACTGCCAGAGGGCGTCCATCGCTGGAGAGATCGGTACGCCACTGGCGAAGGCCTCGAAGTTTACTTGCAGTCTGTTCGAAGACCTGGAACCTCTTCGCCGCTGGAAGTCGTCTCCTTTCCTTCTTCCGAAGACTCCTTATCTCACCTCACGTGTGCAGACACTGCAAAAATATACTACTATATCTACTTAAACTGTTACGGAACTGAAGCGGTCGGCTTTCGTCGGTTAATGATAGCACCTAGAGTTAGTTATATGACGTTTCGACATGGATATATAGTTGTGACAAACTGCGCACCAGAGACGCAAATTGGCGCGTTCTTTTTGTGCTGTAACTCGGAACAGTCATTGAGGACAGCAAAAGACTCGTCACGAGACTGCGGGCGTTTTCGCCACCTTAAAATACGATCAAGAAAAATTCTCTGGCATAGCAATTGACTGTCGCACTGTCAAGTAGCCCAGAAAGATAAACAAACTATTCAAACAACGTTGAAAACATAAGTAGTTGAAGGGAAGTTTTGTGCCCATAAACAAACACCCGTAAACATACAAATGAAAAAACAAAAACTCGTCGGCCCACAGGTACTCACCGTGCGCCTAAGGGTCAACTTTCTCGTGTTCCTTGTGAACAGCGTCATACGAAGGTCGCACCTATCGTAAGGCTCACGAAAGAAAGTTACGATCCAAATGCGTAAGCAACAAAACGTACAAAGCACGAAAAACTGAAGTGCCTTCCGCGCTGGAGGTTCGAAAGATACCGCCACGCCGTGCTAGACGCGTCGTGTATGTGGGACCATGGAATGGCAGATATGAGTCGCCCGCGTTGGGGCAGAACGCAGCTGCGACAATCGCCTGCGCCATCGGATGTAAACACAGCGAGTACGCACGCACACACGAGGAAAGGGTTCGGGGCACGTGCCGGACCTTCGTTTCTTCGTCTAGCGGCCTTCGCGGAGCCCTGTCATCGACGGCGAACGGTCAAAAGCCGCCCGCGGCGGCTTTGCCAAGGTCGCATTAATCCGCTGAACGATCTCCCTTTCACGTGTAGCGTATCTGTTGAAGCACCTGCCCCGAAGATGAATAAAAACATGTGCGGATATGCCATGCACTGGCGGAAATGGTACGCCCGTTTGTCAGCGCGATGTGCTTTGGTCTGGTTTGGTCTATTCCAAGGTACATTCACAATGGCAAGAAGGACACGGTTGCTAAAGGCTAAGTGAATGCCTGACTTGGTTGTGTTTGCCTGGCAATAGTGAAGGCTTGATACATACAGAAACGGAGAACATATAAATGTTCGGTACTGGTTACAAGTTTGAACAAAAAGCCACCTGGCCTCACGTAGATATTAACAGAGCCCGCTTTAGAGCTGTGGTCCTACTGACACAACTGTGTGGCAACAAACAAAAGAATACAAGCAAACGTCTGGACTAGCGCATACTTAAACTGTACGGGTTTATACTTTGTGGTAAATAAAAATACATCCGAGAATAGTCTCAAACAACCTGTGACACATAAAAATAGCTTCTATAAAGTCAAGATTTCGGGCATTGTGAGAGCTATCGTAATTTTCTGCTACCAGTTACATCGTTTTTTTTAATTGTCTGGATGAACTTAAATTCTTCTGTAAATGCACTGTGGTTCGGTATTGATTGACAACATCTGGTATTTGTGAGGCCAATGTTGATCTCTGTAGGTGCGTGAACAGGGTTTTGTGTACTACGCTCCTGCGTGGTTCGGGCGGATTTTCTTTAAGATAATGTGTATAAAATAAAAGTAACGTATTTATCTCATATTGACGAAGTATCTCCAAACATAGTTTGTATGACTGCTTGCTATGTAATATTTAAAGCCTTTAAAATGTGCTCGTGAGTTTTCATGGAGTGGAAGGCTAGAGATTACACGTATTGCGCACTTTTGTAAAACTAGAATTGAATTTAGGTTTGTAAAAGTCGTTGTTAGTGACACCGACGTCCACTATGCAGACGTAAGTACACTACAGCAAGAAAACAGGTAGTGTGATATTTGGATAGGTCGCGAGTTCGAGAGGAAAATGCAGCGGCAGCTGCATTTTCGATGGAGGCGAAAATGTCGTAGACCCGTGTGCTCAGATTTGGGTGCACGTTAAAGAACACCAGCTGGTCAAATTTTCTGGAGCCCTCCACTATGGGTTCTCTCATATTTACATGGCGGTTTTGGGACTTTAAACGCCACACAAAGAAAAGCTTTATATCTGGTCCATGTTTGGTCCTAAGAATTTCGTTGTTGCCATTCGGTTCCAAACAACCATTCGGTGATTGTTTTGAAAAGTATTGCAGGGCGACTTAAATGAATTAGTCTAGCATGCGATGGTTTATTGGTCAGCTGCCACCCAGCGCAATAATGACGCGCCACGTAATGCCCTATGGCGAAATAATCACAGCATATCCACGGAGTGATTGATGATGAGTGAGGCGAAGCGCTGGAGGGTCTCATCACTAAACCGTGAACCATCCACGATTATCGCCCACTGCATCATCAAAGACGTGAGAAACACTATATATATTTATACAACAAATTTTATTATCAGTAAGCAGTAGCTATACGTCGCTTTCGTTCCGCCTTCATTATAACGGCTGGTGGTGAAGTGGTGAATCGGTGACGGGGCGTAGTGGGATGTTTGCAAGGACGAAGTAGTGGGCAGTTTGCAAAGGTGGATCTATAGACGGTCGCGTAGGTACATACATACAAGAGATGGACAGACCCACGCCTTTAGGAGCTTCGCCCCTGAAAATATTGTAACCACACTCCTCGTCGGACCATGGCGAGTCCGAAGGACTCGTCACGGTGGTTGAGAAGTTAACGTGCTCTACTGTTGACCCAAAGAACGCAAAAGCGAATCCAGGCGCCGAGGCTGCATTTAGGCGCAGCATAAATGTTGTTGTTGTTGTTCACCTATTAATTGTGGCGCATGCCCACTATGGTGGATTGGCCAAGAATCAAGTAGTTTTAAAAATTGCTGTTCAGATTTGGAATAATGGAGGTATAACAGAAAGATTACCGACAGTCTAGGAAAGTGTGGTGCTTAATGTAATGCATACAAATATTTACATAAACGAACTTATTCTTAGAATAGAGCAATAATCTGATTTTTGTACATATATATAGTTTTGTGGACATGTTAGGATAATGAAGCATAAATGCGTGAGATTTAGGTGCGCGTTCAAAAGAACACCACATGGCTGAAATTTCCGGAGCCCTCCACTATAGGCGTTCCTCATATCATAGTTTTGGGAAGTATGACCACCCCAGTTATTATATTAGCCCTCCCACAGGTTTCACGTACGGAAATACCCAACGAATTGCACCACCTCCTCTTAAAGATATCGCGGCGGTTAAAAGAAAACAAAAGAAAGACACGCGAACACACTGCGAAGCTTCTAAAGTGTTCTGTCGACGCAGACGTTCGAAATAGGGAGTGACATGCAGCGCTTCACAAAAAGTGTTAATTCACTCCTGCTTTCCTGAAAGTGAAAAAAAAAAACACCTTGTGATAACTACTTCGTTGTCTTCCCTGAAGGGCCCAGTCGCAAGAAGAATCATTCTTGGCACTGAGCTGCTGCGGCATCGAAGGTCACCAGGGACAAGTTCAACTCTATTTCTCAGAGGCGGAGGAGAAACAGCTTAAAGACTTTTATTGAAAACGGCTGGGTTTGATAACCAGAATTTTCTTACGGTGGAGGGGGGGGGGAGGAAGGTGTCAACCAATTGTTATGTAAGTTCGTGCTCATGTCCGTATGTATGTGCGTATTTATATACATAAGCTATAGACTGAAAATTTCCTTTAAAAAATCAACCCTCCCCCCCACCCTTCCCCCACTTCCGTGGCCATATTTATACGCCAATGGTACCTCCTCTGCAGCAGTCGTCAAAAACCTCGAATGAAGGCACAAGGGATCGAGGTGAACGTAAGACACTAGCTGCTTACGCCACATTGTTATCACTCTGAAACTATTCTAAAGCAAATTCATTCGCAGATATCTCGCTTACAATTCCGAAGCAGTATAATGAGTGCGCGACGAGAAACTCTATACTTTTCCATATTAGTTTTAGCTCTCCGGGAAGTCTACGCAAAGCACAAACGCTGGAGAGCACTTGAGCTTCACTGAAGACTAGAACGCGATTGTGTGATCGGGCCTCGTTCGCATCACCGTATCAAATGGTACACGGCGCAATCGATTTCCGTTTCGGAAGCTTGGGTGGCCGTGAGCGGTAAACCCGCTTATTCGAGCGGTGCCTCGCTTCGCTTCTTAGTTAGACAACCCAACCATGCCGCAAGAAAAAAAAAACATCCATGCGAGTAACATTTGCAGTTTCAATCTATATCAGGATGATTACTGCACGTACAGCTACGAAGTCTCCGCTGTCACAATTCTTCCTTTTGCGAATGAGCGAAGTATACCACTGAGCACCCGGAATGTAACACACGAACCTATACGCAGCTGCCCACTTTGTTGATGCTTCTGTCGCTGATGATGGTTAAATATGCCTGAGCGCTTTGTAATTGTTGGGCTTTTAAACCCCTCACTCATCGTGCAATCTGCATGTCCTGACGTGGGGCACGCTTCCACACCACAACAATACATGCGTTAAGAAAACCTATTACACAACGTGACATTTTTTTTTCCTAAGCGATTCCTTGCAATGACGCGGTTCTGTAGTAGATCATCTGCTTGCTCCACGGAAGGTCTGGGTTCTATTACCACTCGAACCGAAGTTCTTTGACATCTATTTCGAACTTTCGGTCATGGACAGCGCTGATCTTTCGTTCACAACCAACGACGCCGATACCGGGATTTCTGTGAAACGATCTCTTTAACGCCATCAGGTTAATACAACAGCGGTTTGCATTCCACACCTTTCAAACACCACTACCAGAATGTGACTGCGCAGCCTGAGCTCGAATCTTTGACGTCAAGCCACCGCGGCAGGTCACGGTAAGGCGACGTCGAACTTGAAGTAGAATCACATACCCTACACCCCATAGATGATAACCTATGCACCCACTTTGTGTTACGATCATCCAGTTTTCTAAAAAAAAACACTGATAGTTAACTCCGCCCTGGCAACCAAACAAGCTGGGCTACTTCAACGCTTCGAGCCAATAACTGCATTTGCGATGAACAAGACCCGTATAGGTGTTAAGTGGGCTGAAAGCCTTCGTAATCTCTTTTTGCACCGCACAGCACGATTTGCGACTATATAAATGTCCTTTTCGGTGTTGAAGTACAATTAAATGAAATTGAAATTGAATCGAGATGACGTCTGGAGACTGCTCGTCCTGGACCAGACCCCAACCCACAATACCGACGACGCCCGCAAGGCCCTCGCTTCAAACGAGTTGTGTTCGTTCCGGGTGGCAGAACACACAAAAGTGTAGTCACCTGACAAGAGTTGCATGTAATCATTCAAGGACAGCCTTCGGGAAACATGGGCGAGTTTTCGTTCGAGCTGGGGCAGCAACGTATCTGTGGAATATCGAGAAGGCATCGCGACACGACGCAATCGATTTCCGTTTCGGATGCTTGGGTGGCCGTGAGCGGGAAACCCGCTTATCCAAGCGGTGCGGTATCTGCGGA